AAAAAGTACTTTAAACTGTATAAATAATGTAAAATTAAATTGATTTAAACAGCCAATCATACGAATGTCTGCCTATGTTAACTAAGGCAAGATTCGAATTTACGTATTATACAATCTACCTGTGTACCACAAACCCACCCATAATAATTTATTTATTCACAAAAATAATATACCAAAAATTCTTTATAAAAGTTTTATCACGCTATATTGTACGCATATTTCAAAATATATTTGTTCTTTGAAATTAAACTTAAATTTTTTAAAGCGTAATAACTGCATAGCAACGATAAGTAATTACATAATCACAATTAAATTTAACCGTAACTACATAGTTACTATATAGTTACTGCACAGAAATTTAAGTTTCTGCATAGTACCAAGTCAATAATCATGATTTTTATGTCTTTCCTAATGATTATTGCTATCTTACTAACAACACATTATATAATAAACTTCAAGACTCCAGATGCTTTTAAAAATATTCACACAATTACGTTATTTGACAGAATTTTTATGATTATTACTAAACAAGGATATGACAAACTTTATTTCAGTCATAAACAATATTTTGAAAAGGATGGAGTTGTAAAGGTAAAAATTTATCACACACATATATATATAATATAAATTTTATCAATTAAATAATGAGTCGTTTATAGCAACGTATTAGAGGAAAGTGGTATTGCTTAGTAACTGATCCAGCGATTGCAAAGGAGCTTTTATTAAAACCAGGTGCATTTTATTAATAATTCACCTGACATGTCATGTTTGCATAATTTTAATCCAAAATTTTTTAACAGATGTTTATCCTAAAATGAGCATTGAAACGCTTTTTCCAAATTCTCTATTTGCAGAACACCTTGGAACTAATGTGGCTTTCTCAAATGGTGAAGTAAGTACTAATTAAGTTTATTATTATTTTTCCTTTGATAAATCTTACGATTAGAACTTAAATTTTAGGTTTGGAAAAGACACAGGTAATTTGCTTCTCTTTTTTTTTGTCATTACTAATTCTGGCAATTTGTCAAAATTGAGATTTTCCAATATTATAAAATATTTTATAATAAAGAACTTTATTGCTATAATTTTCAATTTAATTAACTGTTTGGATTTGTTGTCGCTATAGTTAATGTAAAATTCATTATAAATATCAGTTTTGTCAACTTCAAAAATTTTAACTTGCTAATGATATTAATTCTATTTAGACGTGTTTGCAATTCTGCATTCAAATCTTTACCATTACATCTTTTCGCAGAAACTGGATTGAAAATGATTGATATTTTAGAAACAATTGATAAAAAGTCTGTTGAAATTAAAAATTTTATGCAAAGGTAAAAAAACTATTCTTTATTAATATTTCATTATTTCTTACTTCAAATTACTACTATAAAATCAATTATTTATAGATATGCTTTTGATGTTCTTGGGAAAGTTGCTTTTGGTTTTGACTTTAATGTAAATATTAATGAAAATTATTAATTATAAACAAATTGTCTACAATTCTATATTCTAATAAATATGTATTTTTGTTAGAGTATTGGAAATCCAAATAGTGATTATATAACAGCATTTGATGAAGTTCAAAAGACAATATTTAACCCATTAAGTTTGATTTTTCCAATTGATCGCATTCCAATAATAAGACAACAAAGACTTAAAAAAGTTAATAAGTTAAATAATATATTTAATGAAATCATTAAAGAGAAGCGTAAAGCTTTAGCTGCTGGAAAGTCTCAAGGAGATCTTTTAGAAAACATGTTAAATGCCTTTGATAATCAAATGCTAACAGATTCTGAGCTAAAAGTAAGTTAAGAAGAAGCTTTTTTTCATTTTATTTATTATTATAAATTAAATTTTAATTAGACAAATTAAATAGTATAATCTAGCTCTTTTTATGCTTGCAGGCCATGAAACATGTGAGTATATACATATCTAAATCTAATACTAAAAGATATCTATAATTTCTATAATACTATAATATTCTACAAATTTACTTATAAATTAGCTGCAATTGCTTTGGCAACTACTTTATATCTATTATCAACTTATAAAGTAAGATAAAATTTTTTATTATTTTATTATTGTTGTTGATTATTACTATTATTATATTTATTGAGAAACTGTATATTTTTATATAGAATGTTCAAGAAAAAGCCCGAGAAGAAGTATTAAGAATACTTGGTGATGATTTAGTACCATCAGCAAATCAACATAGATCTTTAAAATATTTAAATATGATTATTCAAGAAAACCTTAGATTATATCCACCAGTAAGTATAGATTTATACATTAATAAATTTTAAATTAAATTATCAATAACTATAACATTATAATATTGTTAATAAATAAAGGCTCCAGCTTTGATATTTCGTGAATTAACTGAAGATATAAAAATTAATGACTTTGTAATTCCAGCTGGTACACCTATTGAACTATTTTTATATGGAATACATCATTCACCAAAACTTTGGGATAA